AATTCTATCAACAATGTTTATAAAAACAGAAGAAGGTAAAATGTCACTATCTTCTCGGATTCGGTTTGTTTTATTACATAACGTCAAATTTCAATAAACGTATTGTTTTTACACTTAGCTTCTTTATTATTTCTAAATGTTGTTAGTTTAATTAAATAACTTTTCATTGATTTTAAATAACTTAAATTACTTTAATTTGTTGAATAAAATTTATTGTTTTAAAAAATTATCAAAATACAATTTAATTTTGCTTGAAAATGCATTAGCTTGTGATGATATTAACAAAACGTTCAACATTTCCAAAGTTATATAATAACAAATCAGAGTTCTATTTCATTTTTTTTTGATAAATTTATTTCATCAACGAATTGAACGCGTTCAATAAATCAGCATCTAGTTTACTGTTAATGGAATTACTGCCCGATGGCAATTTTCCTTTGCAATTTGCAAATAATATTTTCAGTTTATCAACTAACCGAAATGCAACCAAAGCATTGTTATGCTATTATATATTCAATTAATTGACTCTACCCTATACCAATGTTATTACAAAATTTGTAAAAGATAATTTGAAAAATTGTTTGGAAAATATATGATTTTACTATTAATTTGTACAGTAGTTTTACAACCATAAAATGCATTTTTATTTTGTACAAAATTGACTTTATTGTTATATTTTTTATGAAATTAGTCTTAATTTAAGAGTAAAACTTGGAACTTGCGCCAAAATAGACACTATCTATTTACTATCTAACATTGAATACTAATGTGTATCTGTAATTTTTCATTAATAATTTATTAATTTCGATTACTGAATTAATTTAAATATTGTCAATATTGTAAAATAAATAAAATGAAAAAAAATAGTGTGGACGCACCTTTATAAAAATACAAGTTAACATGTACAGAATTATTTCACTTTAATGTTTTTCATATTGCTTTATTAGTATGCAGCGAATGTACATACGTAAAATAGTTTTTCAGGAGCAGTGTTATGATTTGTATATCTATAATGTTTTTATCATAATTTTAACAAAAATCAATGTTTTCTCGCGACGCAACAGATTCGTTTCTAGTCGTACCCAAATGTTTATATTTTTACCTTTGACACTAGTTTGATTTTTCTTGAAAATATTTGTATTTCTTAGAATTGTAAATACCCAAATTAAAAAAAAAACTTTCATTAACTCACAATAAAGTTTGTTTTAATACTCAGAACCAAAAGTTCTTGAAAATAACGTTTTACCTTTTACATTAGTTTTTTTAACTATTTATTATTATTATTTGCAATTTGAAATATTTGTATTTCCTAGAATGGAAAATACCCAAAATTCAAATAACTTTCACTTCGTTTCATTAATTATACTTTTATCATGTATTACCTTGCAAAACATCAGTTATTATTGTATATTTTGATAATCTAATGAAAAAAAAAGTGTTATAGTAAAACCCAAACAAAACTTCAATGTTTTAGGGTTTTCCTCGAATTTGCTTAATTATTATGTAAAGTCAGTTGAGTTGTCGCTGTAACTTTGCAATAAAGTGCACATTTTAACCAAATAAAAAAAATATTGCTAAAATATAACAAACTCAAACCCAAGTTTTCTGCACTTTTTCTTGTGGATGTTACACAATACTTTCCATTGTACTTAAACAATATTTTTTATACATACGTGAAATAGCTTCATATGAAATAGCTACATATTTGTTTCTAATCGTATCCAACTATTTATAACATAACATTTTTGACGTTTTTACATAAGCTGTCACAGTCATTTTACGACCAATTAAACATGAAAACTCAACAATTGTATAACAAGTGATGAAACTGTGTCAAAGTACATTTTTTGATTTATGCACAAATTTCCAATATTTAAAATATATTCATAATTTTCTCTAAGTTTATTGATTTCATATATTTATATCTAATTTGCATACAAAATTTCACTTGAAAATTTTAAATTCTTGTAGACGAGTCCACTTATCATTCAATTTTAGCTTCAGTTAGTTTCTACTTGAAACATGTAAACTCGCGACTTTATTTTTTGGACATAGTCACATACTTATTAATATTATAAAGAATATTTCACTTAATTTTTTGTGGACATTTCTATGTTTTTTTTAGTTAACTATAAACAAAATTTAATGAAAATCACAGATAAACGTTTTATCTGTGCGACTTAATTTATCAGACGTACTTTATTTACAATATTTTACTTAAAAAATTCTTGTAGACAATTCCAATTAACAATTCAATAACATTTAATGAACATGTGATAAGGTTGAAGACATAGTTTAAGTTATTAGTTTATCCACACGTGCTGACAAAGGCAGGAGCCCCGATGTGTGTGCGTTCTATTAAATGGATTAGTTTCATTAAAAACGTGATTGAATTTTGAGGGCGGCAAGTTCAGCCCCGGAGAGACAGTTGTCGCGTGTATAATGGTGTTGAACTGTTGCGGGTCTCCCCCTTACATAAATCTAATCCAAACGCCGAAGCAACGTTTGTTTTTGACACCAGCAAACGTATAATACATGTGTTACAGTTCCCCAAAGATTTCCCCATACACATCCACATCCAAAAGCAATCCCTTCCAAAACCCAGAAACATCGACGTAAGAGCATTATTGATTTAAAACTATATTAAAAAAAAAAGATACATTAAAAAAACAACGAAAGTCTGCATGTATTATTGTATTGTAAAGCTTTGAATCTGTAGAGGTACAAAATGGAACGCGCTTCGCTGATGCAGCAGTTTCCGTTCGGAAGAGCAAAGACAATCGGAAACGCAGCTTTTGTCCGCTCTTCTATCTTTAGTGTTTGTGAAGACGCGTGTGTTGCGCTTAATTACTTTGAGGACGCATTAGGGAAATTGCTGAAACACACGACCTCCCACTTTATTTATTTGTTTTTCTTTCGACGCTTCTCTTTCGCCTTCGGATGGATGCATTATTTGTGCAGCTGTCTCACCTATGTCGGCCATGCGTTTTGATGATATTTTCAAGAATTTTCCGGATCATTAGCACACATTTCTCTATGGAAAACATGCGTTTCGAATTTAATTATTAAACACAAACAAACCTCTGCAACATGCCGGTTAATTTTTGAAGCAAAATATTTTCAAACTTATGCAATCTATTGTTACAAGATACATGAGTTTTTCATTCATAAAACTGTTGTTTTTACTGTTCAATAATCGCTTAAATTTTATATAATAAATATCATAAACATATTTATATTATAATTTTGGATAACCACAAATTCTTGTGATTATTTTATATTGTGAATTTACTGTTTTATTACATATTTTATAATTTCCCTCATTTAATAAAACAAAATGAATTTACACAACAATTTTTTAATCCTTTTTACTTTCTCAATTTTTGTTTCATAATAAATAATTACAAATCAAACCGTTAATTTTATTGGTAAACATTCAAGATTACATGTGTATAATAAAAGAAAACTATATTAGCCTCAAACCACGAATTTTATAACAACGGTTTATGGTACTACTTTCCAATGTTACTTTACTGTTTAAAATATTTTTATAATGTCCTCTTTCTGTTCAACAAATAATAAAAGTCAAGTGTTTGGGGTGCACCAAATAATTTCGAATTTTCAGTTAGTTGAACCGAAAATATATTTTATAAAATTTGAAATCAAGAAAATTTTATAGTTTATTAATCATAAACTAATTAAATAAATAAAAAATATTGACGAAATAAAGTTATTAGTAAAAAAAAAACTAACAATATTGGACAAAAAATAATGGATATTATTATTAACAAATTGAAGTTTATAATGTCAACATTTAGAAGAGTGTGTCTTAAATTTAGACTTAATCATTTAGCTAAGTTCCACATAATCGCATAACTTATGAAACATTACGTAAGTTTCAAAATGGATAAAGTATATTTTTTTGTAAGGAAATAATTGAAGATTATAATGTTAAAATTTTCAAGATTTAGAGGTAAATACATTGATTGTACAAGAATCTTAAATTTTAGTATTAATATCTCTTTTCTTTTGCATGTTATAACAATCTTTGAAATATATACAAATATGTACAAATGTTGAATGTGAATTTATTGTAATGATCGATCGGGTTGAGAGTGTGCTACCGTAATGAGGTGTGAAGAAAGCAGGTAAATTTTGGGTGATATAATAAAATGTATGGTATAAAGATACAGCACGCGCAGAAATTGCTGCTGTGGACCAGAATAGGACCGAAGGTCGCCGTGTTTATGACCGTTGAAAAGTCACAGAAGTCGTCCTTTTTTTAATGGGTTTACAATGACCGCGGAAAGATTAAGAGCGTGCGGTGTGGGTGTGTGTGCGTCCGTATGCGAGTCCGTGTGCGCGCGAGTGTGTGAGTATGTGTCGGAGGCAGTGGTGGGGATGAATGGATTGCGTAAGATATTGGTGGGGGGTTGGTTTGGTATGTGGCATGTATAGGGGAGGGACTAACCACGTGGAGGCCTCAAAAACCGCGTCTGGGATTGGCCGCAGGCCGTCTCTGTTGCGCCCGCAAAAAAGCTCGATTTTCCTTCTTGCAGCATTAACGAGCTTTCGTCCTACTTCCGCAACCGTGGACGCCGGCATCGTTCCATCCTGCTTCCACCCGCAGGTTCGTCCTTGTCGCGCGCACGCCCTTCCGTCCTTATTCAATCAAAGTGTCTGTTTTCTCGCTTACTACAACGCGTGCAGCGGGTATTTTTCTCTTTTCTTCATTACGCCAAAGATCCGCGCCGTCTCCGTCGCACACGCCGCAGTGACATAACTGTGTTTCGCCCCGTAGTTTGGGTTGAATCAAAACAAAACAAACCGAACGGGAGAGGGAAAAAAGTATAGAGGAAGAAGTGAGAAGGGAAAGAGGGAGGTAGCCTGTGAAAAAAAGCAAGGATAGAGAGGACGAGAAAGCGTAGGGGTGGGGGTCGCTGAGGGTACCTGCCGGCCTCCGTCTCTCTTCGGCTCACTCTGCCTATTATAAAGCGACAAATCACCCGTCTCTTTTCATACCTATTTATACTAGCATAAAAACTACCCTCCTTGTCAGGGTATTTAGGCGGGGGTGTATATATTGACCAGAACGAAAAAGTTTCAAACATCAGTTCACCTCGAAATATCGCACAGCACGGACAAAGTGCACGCTCTCTAACTCTAACCAACATCACAGTAGTTGTTGCGAGTCTCCTCTTCAGTCAGTTTAAGACTTCTTTTAGTGACGTTTGTTTGTTTTATTTGTGATAACAGTGATGCATCTACCAGTGCCCAACTTCATGGATTTGTACAGCCACATGCAGGAAGCTCTCCAGGAATACCATGGAGAACTGGTGCAAACCGGAAGCCCTTCAGTGCTATGCAGTAACCTGCCAACGCACTGGAGGTCCAACAAAAGTCTGCCGATCGCCTTCAAGGTGATCGCGCTGGACGACATCCCCGACGGCACCGTAGTCTGCTTAAAAGCAGGAAACGATGAGAATCTGTGCGCGGAATTACGAAACTGCACCGCTATCATGAAGAACCAGGTTGCTAAATTCAACGACCTCCGGTTCGTCGGAAGAAGCGGTCGCGGCAAGTCCTTCACGCTATCCATCGTCATCAACACCTTCCCAAATCAAGTAGCTATGTACTCGAAGGCTATCAAAGTTACCGTCGACGGACCCAGGGAGCCCAGAACCAAATCAAGTAAGCATGCACATCCAAATATTTACACTAGAGAATACAATAAAAGCCGTTTTTAGAATTTTAACGGTTCTCGCTATTAAAAACATCATGATTATATATCAAAACGCCGGCAGCTATTTTTAATTTACGATTTCTCTCTTCTTCCAGGTTACCAATACGGATACGGATTACCAGGACTCCCAGCAAACTTCAATCCCTTCCTGATAAATCCAACCTGGTTCGACGCCGCTTACATGTCTTACGCGGTGCCAGACTACCTCAGGAATCGCGTTCCACCAATGCCTCAGCAAGCATTAATAAAACGTAAGTTATCAAAAAACAGACAACAATACCAAGAAATGTGTATACTAATTTTTTATTTCTATCTTCAGCGACACAAACAGAATTTTTCATTCCGCAACCACCGCCAGTTTTCCACCCGCCGACTTTCTTTCCGCCAACGGAAACCTTCCCCATCAGACACCATCCGATGGAACAGTTATCTCTGCGTCTCTCCTCACCTGTATCGAACACCCAGAGCATTAGCCCGAACAGGCTTAACTCTACTTTGGACCAATCCACCTCCGAGCAATCAGAGGATGAGGACATCGACGTAGTGAAATCCGCCTTCCAACCGATCAAACCTGCCAGCATAGTTCTTCAAGAAATTCAGCACCCAGACTCCACCGTCAAAGAAGAACCGCTCGACAAAATGGAATTGAAAGCGCCCAGCTCGAGGAAGCTCACCACCTTGTCGAATAGCAAACCACCATCAAAAGTCTGGAGGCCCTACTAAGAAACAAATGGATTACGTGAAATTTATTAAGTTTGCAATATTTGTAAATACGTGTACATACTTAAGATGAAGATATATTTATTGTGAATAATTTATTTATATACACTTAGAACTGCAATTGTGATAGCAGATTAAAATTATATAAAACAAATAATAATAATATGAAGACAAAAAAACTCGACGATTCTTATTATGAGGAAATGAACATTTTTTTAGAAATTTAGATATTTTTGTACAGACGGAAAAAATCAAAGAAATCTTTATAGTACAATAAAAACTTATTATGATATTTGTATGGAAATACTTGAGTATTGCTTCTGCCTTTTTGCCTCCAGTTCTGCAGAATTTTACCGTTTTTTTATATTCGCCCATCAATAATATTTGGTGTCTGCCGAACCGAGTCGGTCTTTTTTTTTTCACGATTCGAGCTGTTGTTGGAAACAGAATTGAATGATGCTGCTGCCGTTTTGGCACCTAACTAATTAGCATTGATTTTGGGCTTTGGAAGCGCCGATTGGCTGGACGCGTTCGTACACATGTGCAAGCGTCACATTTCATCGAATTTCATGGCCCAGTGATCCCTTTGTATGGCCCCCAACGCGACTCCAAACACCGAGGGTGCGACTGAAAACTCTTCATGTATATATACATACACGTATATACATATATATATATATACGTGGGGAGTCACACTCACACAATACATTTTATATATACGTGTATTGGAGACCGTTGCCAACGAGCCACTCATATAACGACGAAAATAGCGAAGTGAATTGTAAATCAAGTCGGCCGTGGGGATTATTCGAGGATTACCTAAGATCTTTCGAAAGCACCTCCGGAAAAATGCTCAACCTTTGTTTCTTCCAACGCAGCCGTTCTAAATTTATAGCTCTACTTTAAACTCCTTCAGTTCAAAACACGCATAACTCTGTTTTTACTCATTTCATTTACAAACTGCATTTTCAATTTTTGCATTTCTTTACGAAAATATCCACAAAATATTACAACACAAAATTCTTAACTATAACAAAAACTCAGTAGAAAAATAAAAAATCTTTTTTAAATGCACAATTAAAAAAAAAACAATATATTTTCAAAATTAATTTCAGTTTCCAACACGAAATTTTTCTACTCATTTTTCACAATATTATTGTGAAAAACATTCAAATTTACAAATAAGTTTTTTTTTTCATTTTTTTTTGTTGAGAATTGTTACAAGTTTACTAATTGATTGAAGTATATTACATTCCTTAAAAAAACAGTTTGTAAAAGAATAATAACCTACGGCCTGATTCATTTAGGTTTTAAATCCCCTTTATTTGAAGTTTTAAATCGGATTCCGTTCAATGATTTTAATTATCGACTCTACTTCACGTCAAACTTTGAACTTCATTGTGTTTGAAATATTTATTTATGGTTGTAATTTGGCAATCGACTAAAGTCTTTCTGCTTATTTGTATTTATCTATACTAAACTAATTATAAATAAATAAAATATTAATAGTATATTAACGTTGTTTAGGCTATTATATTTCTTTTGTAATGTGGTTAAATGACAAAACAAAGATTTCATTGTTAACAGTATCACATAAAACAAACAATTTGAGAATACATTAAGAAACACTTTTAGTTATTTTTCATTTGAGAATGCTACAATTTATTTTAATTGAAACATTGAGAAATTGTTGTTGTGTACTATACAATATTTATAATATAAATGGGGTAAATTTTGTTGGGAATAATTGCCAAAATTTAACGATATTTACAAATCTGAAGATTAAACATAATTATTCACATTTGGTATCAGAGTTTGGTAGAGAATTTAGATGGAAAACTCCCCAACAAATACGGATAATATCGACAAATACTAAATAATAAAACCAAATCTCGGAAATCATTTAAAAAGAATAATACTAGTTTCTGATAAATTGGAAATAATATGTTTAGTTTTAAGCAAGTTATTAAAGGTGGATTATAGATGAATTCCTATCTTTAAGGTCAATGTTATATTCACCCTTTGTGCACAAACCTTTTAGTAGTTAAGCAGTCGACTAAGAAGGTTTTGAAAATGATGTGAAAAACTGTTAGGATTAAGGTTTTCCGCGGAAACAACAAACAAGGCGTAGTATTTACTAGTACACTCACTTAGTAAGTTTTATGTTTATGATTTAATCCGTTTATAAAAGGAAAGTGAACCTAAGCCAAGTGATTTAGGAAATTTTCCTTTTACAAGGGATTGAGATTAGTCAGGAAAATCTTACTAAACGATGGCTTTACCTGAAGCAAGGTCAAAGATGTCATAAGTAAATCCTTTTACGATCAATATTTAAAATAATAATAATAAAAGATAATTATTTTCTGTCATGAATACTAATTTCGTAATCTTTTTATTTAATCCTAATCTTTTAATCCTAATCTTCAAAATACAATTTAAATTTCGTTAATATTTTCTTGTGTCAAAATATGCATTTATAAATTAATGTGAGAGATATAGAATTACATAATTAAGTACATAATGTATTAATATATATATAATAAGTGTTAATTATTAATTTTGTTAGTAATGTGTTATTTGATGATCAAGTATTCTGTAGCAAATGATTGACGTTGTCAGATTAAAGTGTAATGCATCCAGTATATTTTTTTCTTCATGATGTGAATGCAACAGACAATGAGAGAAGATGAGTGAAAAGCAGAGAAGTTCCGTTTGTGTGATCGGAACAAGTGATAAAACAAATTGGATTTTACAGAGAATCCAAGTTCTGTGAGAGAATGTAAAATATTTAGTAAGTACAAAGCGGATTCGGTTGTTCCGTGAGCCGCCTCCATCGAATCCCTCTGCAACCGAACCACCCCCTCCGGGGTATGTGTTTGTGTTAGAGTTCGTGTGTAAAAATCGATTAATTACGAGGAGGGGTAACTGTCCAATATTTGCCAGTTCTGATTGGGAACAGTCAGGTAAGTTGATTAGCGATTAGAGCGATTGTGACGCGGGCGTTCAAAGGGTCTCTAATTACGAGCGCCGCAGCGGGCAAACCGTGAACCAGCCGTTTGGGGGTGGCGTCGCGACGCTTCACACATCCCCCCCGCGCGCGGACGACAGCCAGGGCCGCTGATTTGGTCTCGTTCGTGTGCGATGCATCCACCCTACGGCCGCCGCCCCCACTGTTGGTGGCGGTGGCGGCGGCGGCAACGGTGGCGGCAGCATCAGCAGCAGTACCAACCCACCTTTATTAACTCGCCCCGCGACCGCCAACCTTGTTAAAATTCACATGCTGCGTAGCCGCTTTGTCACATTTTCAGTTGGTGCGCGTCACAAAAATATTCGAAGTATTTTCCCATAGCCACATACCCCTTCGCACATACACGCTTTTCAGGGTTGTACGCGTACTGTTATTATTTTCAGCTTTTTTTCCCTATAGAAGCGCTCCCTAATGCATTTCGACACGGTTTATGATTTTTTATTGTGGCTCAACACACGGGGATCCAGATGAAGACGTTAATTCAGCACGTTTGACCCCCGTCACGCCGCCAATTGGGGTGTGTGTGAAAATATGATCATAAATCATTCAATAATTTCATTTATATTTACACTATTACCTCTATTCTATTATCTTGATTGCATTACAGTTTTCAACATACACATACATTATTCATTGACACATCTTCAATCTTTAGACCCTTAATGATTCTTTAAAAAGTTTTCAGTTAAGGTTTGAAAATGGAATAATTGATTATCAAACGATGTTGTTACATGAACTATCGATGATTCATAGAATAACATTGTAACATCCTCTGTATCATATTACATAAAATCAATTTTCTAAATATACATATGACATTTACATTCATTGGATCATTTCATCAAAAGGTTTTCATCATTATAACTAAGGTTCAAATAAAATAATTGGTTATCAAATTGACATAAGTTTATGTTCTTACTTGAACTACTGACGATTAAATGAATATCATTTTGATATTATCCTAAACGCATTACATTCAAAAGTTTGCATCGCCTTAGAACTAAGGTTATGAAATGAAAGATTTGATTGTCAAATTAACATGACATGATGTTATAAGAAATGTACTGGTACGTAAGTACATATCAATTAATTAAACACTTTACAATATTGAAACATTAACTCATAAAAAAAATATTGAAGAAATAAAAGAACTATTAATTTAGTATCCATAACTATCACATAGTTTTGGTAGATGTAGAGTTGTTTCCTTATCCATAGTAAACACTGATCTACTAATTACAAGAATAATGTGAGATATGGCTTTATCGTTGTTTGTTAGTGATCATTACAGACAGTTCAAAATAATAATTGAAAGTTTCTGCCTCACTTTGGTGACATAATTCTATCATTTTTGTACACGTTTAAGAACTACGACATTATAAATGATAATATTTGAAATGTTGTCTTCGTTACAAAACTGACAATTATTACAATAATGACATTTTATACAAAGTTATCTATTTAGATTTAACTTTTTGGGAATATCAAGTTATTAAATAAATATAGGAAAAAATATTTTTTTCTTGATGGTTTATTTAATTCTTACTAATTTTATTATTAAAGTTTTTATTTATTTTTTTACATAATTTATGTTTAATTATTTATGAAAAAAATATAGAATTTTATTTATTTATCATAATTAGATGGGTTTAATTATTTGTATAGTAATTTATGTATGTACGTATTGTAACTGTGAGAAGAGAACGAGTCTCCCTTTTTTTAATCAGGAATACTGAAAGACGTCAAACGGATGTCGGATGAGAATCGCGGAAGAATAGGAGGAAATGGAGCATGGTGGAAGTCTGAAAAGAAGAGATGCAGGGAGTTTATATCAATTTGGAATACTCGAGTCGTAGAGTACGTACACACACATATTGTTAATGAAATCTCATCTGTTGGGTCATGTATAGGGGCCACACAACATTAGGGGGTACACGCAGATCTAAGGGCGTCCACCCTTCCCGTCTACCAACTTACAACATTCCCTGCATATGCAAAACCTTGTACGAACGCAATGCTTAAAAACTACAATAGGATTGGATCAAATAGGATGATTTACACAACCGTCCATATTTCTACAGTCGCAATTAATGGTAGCCAAAAGTTGGTGAAAGAATACTGCAAACACCATAAAACGTGTCGTGTGCCCAAGTACAAGAATTGTGCTCTAAAAATTTATAACCGAGATCCTACAACCTAGA